ACTCTTCCTATCTTTTTTTTGGTATATGCGTGTGGGCCCTCCGCAGGCTTTTGCTTTTTTTTCTATTTGCGCCTCGGCAGGCACACACAACCGCACGATAAATATAAACTGCAGTTCGCGTGGATGATTCTCTCCTGGCCGCGGCGTGCACTCGGTGGGCTGCCGCCTTTTTGTTCATTCCATCTGTTCTGTCTCCGCTGCCCTCTATTTGTTTCCTCCTTTCTCTTCCTTCGCCCTCCCCACCGCCTCGCAGCCCAGCGATTCTGCTGCCACTACTACTGCGGCGGATGGCGACGATGCTGGCGGTGCGGCGCCGTGCGGTGTGCGCCCTGGCGCTCCTCGCGCTGCTCTGCGGCTGCGGCTGCGGGGCGACCGGGGATGTGAATGTGCCGGTGGAGGTGTCGTGCCTGAACACTAACGGCAAGTTGAGTTGGCGCGTTGCCGGCGGGAAACCGTCTACTTGGAGGGAGTGTCCTCAGGCAGTGAAGGATTTTGGGGGGCAGTGGAGGCGATGCTGGCAGCAATTCCCTCTGCATCTTTGCCGGTTCGGTGTACCTGGAGAAGTTCTCGAATGGGAACTGCCCTGCATCTCAGCCAACGGAGGGCGCAGACGCTGTTGCGTTCACGATGCCCTGTACGGCGGCTAAAAACAGTGCGCTGCACAATCTGTCGAAGGGCGAAGCCGTCACCATCAATGCAACGGCCAATCCACTGGGCGCGTCAGGCGATTGTGAGTTCCCAACCCCCAGTCAAACCGCGGCCGAAGTGCAATCTGGCGCAGCAGGAACAGAGACATCACCACAACAACAGTCATCTCCGGCGAAACCCCAGCAAGAAGGCAGTGCGGCAGGAGCCCGTGCGGGGAATGGAGCCTCCACTGCTGTTGGGGAGCAGCCGGGCACCGCGGCGGGCCCCACCGGAAGTCGGGAACCATCGACGGGAGGCCCTCGGGAAACTGCAACGCCATCGGTTGACACTGCGGCTTCGTCAACACAGACGGCAGGGGAGAGGGCAGCAGATGGAACGAAGACGACGACCACCCGAAGTCCGAGTGCTGGGAGCAACGCGGACATGAGTGTCGCCATCGCCGCTGCGTGGGTGCGTGCACCTTTGCTGCTGCTGCTACTCGCCTCTGCTGCTGGGTGTTCCTGAGAGGCAAAGCTGAGAAGCAACCGCACGAAGACACGCACACCCTGACAGGGACGACGCGTACGTTTTGCGCGCTCATTTTGCTTGTCGTCCCTGTGGGACAATACTTCCCCCTCTTGTGCTCTGAGGGATGCTTTCTTCTTTTTTTTTTGCTTCGCCACCCCATGCACGTTCCCATGGGCGGCGCACCCTTTTCCCCCTCCTGCTTGCTGGTTCAACACGCACACATACTCGCACACATGGCGCCGGCCGCATTGCTGTGCGTCGCACGGAGTGCCCAAATGAGGCACGAGGCCGCGACCACCGTGAGGTGAGTGTGCGTGTGGTTGTGTGTGCGACCGGGGCAGTTGTTTCTCTTTTTTTCTTCGTGCAGGTGTTAAAATACACACATGCATCTCTCACAGTCCTCTTGTGCTGCTGGACGCGAGAAGTAAAACAACACCACCTGCCGAAGTGAGTTCGTTTTATTTTCATTTAATTTTGGGTAGGCGTTGCGGGGTTTCCATTTCTTTTATTTTGGTTTTAATTTTTTTTGTTGGGGCAACTCACTGCGGCACAATTTTAGTTTGTGCGTCGTGTCCGCCGTTGTGTCGCTGCGTGTCTCCGTGCCTTGTTTCCCCCTGCCGCCGGCTGTGCCGCCGACACGCCCCCATTTCCTCCTCCTTCCCGCTAGAGGCAACTTTAGTTTGCGGCGACGACGGCTCTTTTTTTGTTCTCCGCTGCGGCAGGCTGTGCGGCGGGCTTCGGACCCGCCCCGTTCCTCTCGCCGCGTGCCTTGTTGGGTGTGCGCTGTGCGGCCGGCTTCTCCCCCGCGTGTCTTCCCCCTCGCAGGACGGGGGTGTCGCACTTCGCCTGCGCCGTGCCGCCCGCTGCGGCGTGTGTGCGGGGCTCTCTCTTTTGCGCTTCTCCCCCACACTTCTCTGCGTATGTGAAGGGAGTGCGGCCGCGAGGGGTTCGTCCGTCGCCGCTACGGAGGCGCAGACAGTCGCGCTGCGCCAAAACAAAACAAAAAAAGCCGCACGACGCCTGCGGGAGGCAGCGTCACTTCGCATGGCGTCCCGCGTGATGCGTGGGCCCTGCGGCTGCGGCGGGTGCGGCGGTGCACGAGTGGGGCGCGTGGCTGCCGGAGGACTCGGGGGAAGTGGCGGTCGCCGGCACGGCGCCCGTGCA